TCATTCTAAGTGGTTTCTATAAAATACATATCTTTACTTTTGCAAAAAAGTACATTGGTTGCTCCCGGTATCCATAGGGGCATGAATGCATAGTTCTTCATAAACTTTTTCTTTTCTTGGGGCATTTTGATAAATATCTGTTGAAGATATTTTATTTCAGGGGTTTTTAAGAAAATATTTTTGGAAGATATTTTCATTCTGGCCAGTCGTGCAGTTTTTAATTTTTTGAGGGGCCATTGTGCAATTAATGAAAGTTATTACAAAATACCTTATTTTGAGCCTGAATCCTCATACAGGACTCATTTTCACTTTTTGTCAAGTCTCGTACTCTTAGAATTTCCTTCTTGTTGTTTTTCTATAGTTTCAGGGTTTCTAACCCTTGTTGCCGCCGAATTTGTTTGGGGCATATCTTCCTGCACAGGACTTGATTTGTGATGCCATTTCTTCCGTTGTTCATCTTTACTCATTTTAGTTCTTTTTCGTTCATAAAGTCTTGCCGTTTGAGCGAATTTACTCAAATTCCACTTTTCTGGACCCAACAAGGCTCTTTCGGGGGCACTTTTAGGGTTTTTCTATAAATAGGAGGTGTCAAGACAAAAAGTCAGATTTTTCTCTTTCTCTCCCCTCTTGGCCGGTAGCCATGGCAGCCAAGGGGTTGCCACCCTTCTTCTTTTTCCGGCCTCTTCCCTCGTGGTAAATGCCATAGTACTTTAGTGTTTTATGTTCGTCTTGACGACGCGTATCTTTCTCCCTTATTAGAACCCATTTCTGACCATTTTTAATTTCAAATTTCAAGTTCAAGTTTGGATTTTCATGGTACCTCCTTGGTGTTTAATATTCCTCTCGTTGTCCCCGACATAACCTAGGAGTATCGTCGGATTCGGAGCATTTTTCCTTCGGTAGGAATTTGAGATTTCATCTCAAATGGAGGTAGGGGGTGTCTTAGGTTTATGTTAATGTTGTATTGATTGTTATATAAGCATATACAACTAGTAAGCATGCCTTTATTTAAGTTTAGAATTTAATTTAATTATTTTCTATGTTTAGGATTTAATTCTCATAAAGGTGTGTACCTTAGAATTAAGTTGTGGCATGCTAGTAAATTAGGCCTTGGTATGTATATCAACATATATTAAATTGGGAGCATTTGTATAAGTTAACTTTTTGCACTTTTCTCTCTAGATAGGGCAATATTGGCAATACTAGGGTTTCCTAGGGTTTCCGGGGAAGATGGTCTCCACGATGGAGGAGGGGCAACCCTTTTCTACCGTAGGTAGTGTCTCACTTACTATTACTTCCACTTTACAGCGCCCTCTATGGAGTTCACTACTCCTCAATTCTACGTCTACTGGTTTTACACCATTAACTTATTATAGTGAAAGCAAGAATAAGGAATGTGTGGTTATCAAAGATGAAGACATAGCTGAAGAATTAAAATTCTGGAAAAACTCTGTGGTATGTTATGTATTGGGGAGTAAACCATACTTCCCGTATTTCAAATCATTGGTTCAAAAATGGTGGCATAAGGATGCAGTGGTGGTATCTATGAAGGATGGATTTTTCTAGGTACATTTTCCATCAGAGGAAGATCTATTGACTGTAATATCATGATTTCATACATTTCAAGGGAGAGCTATTATTGTTAAAAAATGGCATAAGAGCATCCTATTAGAACGTGATATTCTTGCTATAGTCCCAATATGGATGAAGGTATATGATCTACCTATCCATGCATGCAGTGGGACTTCGATCTCAAAGGTTATTTCAAACATTGCACAGCCTTTATATATGGATGATATTGCCCTTTGTAGAGAAAGAGGTTTGTATGTTCGAGTTTTGGCAAAGATGGAGGTGGATGGGGAATTTCCAAAAGTTATCAAAACAAAGCTGCATGGTTTACCTTGCCGAGTGACAGTGGAATATGAATAGAAGCCACAAACTTATGGATTATGCAAGAAGATGGAATACACTAATAATATGTGCCCGCTGAACAAGAAGAACTAGACGAAACCTAAGGAGAAGTGGTTTATGAAAAGATCAGATAAAGAAAAAGAAGTAGAGCCAAAACAAAGCAGTGGTGTTACGTTGAGGGCTTTAGAAATAAGGGAGGATGATGCTATAATTCCTAACGAACAGGAAGATATAGAGGGTTTTACAATACAAAGAAAATCAAAAGGGAAAGCAAAGACAGTGACACCAGTTTCAACAATCCAAGTTTCTTCTCCTAATCCATTTAAGGTACTTGATGAAATTACTAATATAGATGAGATTGGGGAGCAAATTGTAGTTATTAATCAGATGAGTGAAAAGGAGCCTGAAAAGAACGAAGAGTAGGCTGTTGCGTCTAAGGAAATTATAACTGTTTTTGAAGATGACCCAATGATCCAAAACAAGGATGAATCCGCAAAGGTTACTAAGAAACAAGATGATGTGGGGGGAGGACATGTCTCAACAGAGGGAAGTAACTCCTCAAAGAAACAGAAGAAGAAGGCTAAGAAGAAGGAGGTAGAAATAGATTCAAGTGTGGTAAAACCCTCCAAACAAGGATAGGAATGTGGAATGTCAGAGGGCTCAACAGGTATGTTATGCAGAAAGAAGTTAAGACCTAGTTGAGTAGCTCCTCGATTATTTTGTGTGGATTGGTGGAAACTAGAGTTAAAAGTAATAAGTTCCATAGATTATCAGATAGAATTAGAAATAACTGGACTTGGGCGAATAATTATTCTGCAGATGTAAGTGGTAGAATTTGGTGTGGATGGGATCCATTGAGAATTGGGGTTTCAGTTCTGGTGGTTAGAGATCAGATGATTTTGCTGCAGGTTGAAGTTAGAGGTTCAAATACAAAATTCTTTGTAACTTTTGTGTATGCCAAAAACACAGCTTCTGAGAGGGAAAGTCTGTGGAGGGATCTTGAGGAGAGTGTTCCTTTAATCACTGGACCATGGTTGTTGATGGGTGATTGGAATGTGATAAGAATGAATGATGAAAAGGAAGGAGGCAGAAGACTTCCACCTAAAGTTTTTTCTGATTTTAATAAGACAATTGATAATTTATGCTTGTCAGATCTGCCAACTTCTAATGGTTTATATACCTGGTGTAATAAGAGATTTTCCAATAGGAGAATATATGCTAAATTGGATAGGTGTTTGATGAATGTGGATTAGGAGCAGGTTTTTCCAAACTCCCATATTGTGTTAACTCCTCCATTAACTTCAGATCATTGGGGTTTGCAGATGGACTTCCCTTTACAGATTGCTGATGGTCCCAAACCTTTTAGATTCCTTTCTGTCTGGAATACTCAACTTGCTGTTAAAGACTTGATTGCTGATGTGTGGAAGATGAAGACAAGTGGAGATCCTATCAAAAGGTTATTATACAAGCTGAAACTTACAAAACAAGCAGTTAGAAATTGGAATAAGGATAAGTTTGGCTCTGTTTATGAAAAAGTAATTTCTTATAGAAAGAAACTTATTGATTTGCAGCAGCAGTTGAAGGATAATCCAATAAATGAATGGCTTATTCAGCAAGAAGATGAAGGTAGAATGTCCTTAAAAGCTGCCATCTCTAATGAATCAATTACTCTTGCTTAAAAATCAAGACTCAAGTGGGTGAAGGACCAAGATAGATGCTCCAAATTTTTTTTCCAGAAGATAAAACAACACAGGACAGGTAACAACGTTACAGCTATTTAAGAGGAAAAGGGTTTTATCACTGATCCAGCTACAATCAGATCTAGGTTTGTTGATCATTTTCAAAAGGCTTATGCTAATGAGCATCCTATTACTATTATTCCAGAGGCAAAATTCATCAGAAATACATTAAGCATTGAAGAGAATGCTATGTTGGAAGATGTTGTTATTAGAGAGGAAATTAGAAACACAGTTTTCTCTATGGGGCTTGATAGAGCCCCGGGTCCAGATGGCTTCACTACTAGATTTTATCAACAATTTTGGAGCATCATTGGAGAAGATTTTACTAATGCAATTTTGAAGTTTTTCTCAAATCTAGAGTTAGGCAGAGGGACAAACAATACATTCATTACTCTGATTCAAAAGAAGAAAGATGCTTTAAAGGTTGGTGATTACAGGCCAATATCACTTTGTAATGTCTTTTATAAAGTCATTGCAAAGATCTTAGCCAATAGACTTGCCAAGGTGTTAGGAAATCTTGTGGAGAAAGAGCAAACTACTTTTATACAAGGTAGAAAAATTCAAGATAATATAATTATTGCTCATGAACTCCTAAGAGGATTTGGTACAAAGAGAGCAAAGCCTACTTTAGCTTGGAAAATTGATTTGAGGAAAGCGTATGATACAGTACAATGGTCTTTTTTTAATTAATATTATGAAGCTGTTTGGTTTTGGAAACATTTGGGTTAACTAGATCCAAGTCTGTTTATCTTCTGTTTGGTTCTCCATTATGGTAAATGGATCTCCTTGTGGTTTCTTCAGGCCAGAGAGAGGATTAAGACAAGGTTTCCCTTTATTTCCTTTCCTTTTCACACTTGTTACAAAGTATTTTTCAGGAATGATTGATGTTGAGGTTAAGAATGATACCATTTTCCCTTCTAAAGTTGTAACTAGAGTTGGTCTTCCTATCACTCATTAGTTTTTTGCTGATGATCTTCTTGTGCTTGTCAGAGTTAATATGGCAATAGCTCTTACTCTTAAAAGAGTTCTGAATTTGTTTGAAAAAATGTCAGGTTTAGCTGTTAACAAAGACAAATCCGAATTGTACTTCACCAGTTCAGTTAAAAGAAGAACAACAATGGTTAGAGCTCTGGGATGCAAAGTTGGAAGCTTTCCTTTTACTTAATTGGGGCTTCCTATTTCTGATAGGATATTGAGAAGAAGGGACTGTCTTAGTCTGATTGATAAAGTCATTGCTATCACTTCTAGATGGAATGGTATGCATATATCTGTGGCTGGGAGAGTATAACTTAGCAGAGCTGTCTCATTCCTATGGTTTATTATTGGACTTCTGTATATACTCTTCCATCTATGGTTGTTAATCTTACTGAAAGAAGAATGAGGAATTTTATTTGGGGGTATGTGGAAGATAAAAAGAAGATGCATAGGCTATGTTGGAAGAAACTTGCTGCGCCTAAAGAAAAAGAGGGGCTTGGGCTGAGAAGAATTGTGGATATTGATTTAGCTTCTAAATGTAATTTGGCCTGCGATTTCTTACTGTCAAAGGACAGAATTTGGGTGGCTTGGTTTGAGAGATGTTACTTGAAACAGGCCTCCTTTTGGAATATGGTTCCTAAGGTTACAAGTTCTTCTATCTGGAAGAGCATAATTGTAATACGAGGTATTATGAAAGGGAATTGCAAGTATAAAATCAGGAATGGGCAGAACATTGAGGTATTTATAGACCCTTGGTATGAAGGTCAGTTCTTGGGTGATTCATTTAGTCACAGGCTTTTGAGATATCTCAACAGCAATAAGATGAGTTGCTTAAGTGAGTTCATTGTTAATAACCAATGGGATGATGAGAGAATGCTGAATACAAATCAGGAAGTTATGCAATTAGAAAATACATGGTGGGGAAGATACTTTGAAATGGAAAGATAATTTCAGTTTTAAATCGGCTTGGGAGGCCTGTAGAACTAAATTTCAGGTGGTTAGTTGGTATAAGTTGTGCTGGAATGGAGGAAGACCGAGATGGTCAATTAACTCAGTTCTGGTAATGCAGAATGCTGTACTCACTTAGTCCTATATGAAGAAGAAAGGTTTCTCTCTAGCTTCAAGATGTTATTTGTGTTTGTGCTGTGAAGAAACTCTTGATCACCTGTTTTGCAGCTGTGAGTTCACATGGAAAGTGTGGTTTACTCTATCATATGTTTGTAACTGGAAATTGCAAAGATGCTATGAAGTCAATGAGCTTGCTTTGATGTTTAAACAAAAATTCCAAGGAAAGGGAAAAAATAAGATGGCAAGAATTTTGTTCACTGCTACACTTTATTTCATTTGGAGGAAAGGAATGACAGGTTACATAATAATAAATTCAACGAGTCCAAAGAGCTAGCAAAGAGTATTTTGTTTGAGGTTTTAGATGTCATGGGGGTATGCCTTTAGGCCATTCTTTAACTTTATTTATTTTTCTTTTCGAAGTTTGTTATGTTTTTCCCTTGTAGGGAGTACAATTTTTCCACTATTTTTTGATGAGGGTATGCCCTCATTTCTTCATGTATCATATTGTTTATATTTTTATAAAATCCTTCATTCAGGAAAAAAAAAAATTGGGGGCATTTGGATGAGAATTGCAACTTTTATTTAATATTTATCTTTTGTGAAAGATTAATTCACATAGTTGTATCAAGCATGAAATCAACTTGTAATGTGATAGTAAAGTAGGCATTGGTATGTTTTTCAACCTATGTAAAATTGAGGACATTTAGAGTTATTTGGAAATCTAGAGAAAAATTAATTAATGAGTTTAATTAATTTTATTTCAAGTATTTTAAATCCCTTGATTCGATATGTGATGTGATATATGTGAAGACTATGTTATGTCCTTTAACATATATTAATTTGAGATTATTTGGGATTGATTTGAAATGTAGAGAATTTAATTATTTTTAGTTAATTAAATTCTATCTACTTGTTTCATGGATTTAACTATGTCTTTGAAATTATTTCTATGTTTAAATCAAGGAATTGGACTTAGCATGATATGTGATATCATTGTCTTGAATATCTTGTTTAAATATATCTTGTATAGGTATATAACTTGTTAGAATATTACAATTGTTTACCTTCAAAACTTGTTGCTAAATTGAAGCTTATTTAGTACTTGTGGCTTAGGAGGGTAATGTGGTTCAATTGTTGTAAAATATTCTTACTTTGTGTATAAATGGCATATTGAGGACATGACATGTCATATGCTATTTAGACTTGGATTCTAGGACATGGTTTGTGTGGACTCAACCTTACTTGCGCATGGAATGTGGTAACTTGCATTTGATTTTGTATAAGTTTTGAACTTATTGATTTTGGAAAACTTGTGAGGACATAATTTATGTGATAGCTAGGGTTTGGCTCTAGTATGTGGACAAGTGTCCTCTAAGTCATAAGTGCGCACTAGTTGGTACCTTGCAGGTCGTAATTACCTAAAAATACTTGCTTAGTCTAGCGACCACATGTCCTAGTCTTTTCATTATTTGATTTCACATTTAATTTCAAGTTGCTAATCATGGATTACTTATAGCTTGAGAATTGATGCTTGCTTTAGATATTTGAATCCTATTTAGTATACTTGAACTTGTATACTTGCTCTGTGAGTTTAAATTTTATTTAGTATGCTTGTGTTATGTATACTTATTTTAGGCGTATCTCTTTTAGCTTAATATACTTGTGTTCGTATACTTGACTTTTGAGTACTCTGTAGATATTGAATACTTATGTTGTATACTTGATTTACAAGATTTCCATATAAAATGTATACTTGTGTAAATATGCTTAGACATTGCATGACTATCTTAATATGGTTCAGTATACTTGAAAATGTATGCTTGTATGCCGTATAATATGTCTTAACATTGTTTAGTATACTTGAGCATGTATACTTGTATGCCGTATAATATGTTTTAACATTGTTTAGTATACTTGAGCATGTATACTTGTATGCCGTTGTTCACTTTAAATTGCATGAGTATTTTAGGATGCTTCCTGAGTCTCACTCTGACATAGACGTTAGGTGGCATGAGCCCCTTTGACATGTTTCACCTTAAGGTGATAAATTCGTAAAATGCTAGGTCTATGCATGCTCATCTCCTACGAGTAGCTTTACGTTACTCGCCCCGAAGTTATTAGAGATTTATTTCAGGTACGAAGGCTTGGTCCGTGATGCTCATCATTTGCCTTGGGTGATTTGTAACTTCTTATGACAAAACTTGTATCTTTGTTTTAAATATGTATTGGGTACATAAGTACACCTTTTGTAATATATTTGATATGTATGACATGAGGCCAAGGGCCAAGCATGTTTATATTTGCACTTATACTTATTTGGCACCACATTTTGTTTAAAAATGTAACTTTTTCAACTTTAGAGATTTGGCGTGTCAAATTTTGTAAATGAAATATAATGAGGCCGTAAGCCATTGTAACATGTTTAAAATGCCATATTACACTTGCGTGTATGTTCACATCATCACATAATAGCATATAATGTAAATTGATCATGCCATGGGGGATTCAAATGAGACTTAAGTACTCTTTTCAGCCTTTGGTGTATAACAGGTGTTTTATGCATTCTCTCGAGTCATTTCGGCCGACAGAAATGGTATTTCGGTCGACTGAAGCCTTTTGGATTTCAATTGCACAGTTTAAAACTCATTCTAGTAGCCAAATGTACTGTTTGGGCTTATTTTGGTAGACTGATCGCTAATTTCGGTTAACCGAAGTAACCTCCCTTCAAAATTATGTTTTCATGAAAGTTTTTGCCTAGTTCGGTCGACCGAAATTGCTTTCATTCACCAGCGTCTTCAGTTTTGTTTCAGCACTGATGTTCCGACTTTAAACGGTCATATCTCCTTCATTTCTAATCCAAATGAGGTGATTCTTAAGCCTAAATTCATGGATTTGAGTCAGCTTTCCAATGGTATCAATGCCATTCTCAGATTCAAATCATAGTGGGATTTATTCAAATTTTAGTGAAGTAGTGTTAGGATTTGGTTCGTAACGGGAAAGGGCGTTTTGTGGAATTCGTGTCCAAAGTTCTTAGAACCTCTTAGAATGTTGTGAAATGATTATTTTAGGTTATATGGACCTTGTTTGACTTTCTTGGAGTCAAATTTCTCTTCTTAGTTACAAATCGACCATTTTGCCATTGATTGACGGGTTTTGCTCATTTTTCTTCATCTTATCGTTTCTTCTTCGTTTGGATTCCGAATCATGCGATTCTTGAATCCATATTAATTATTTTTTCATTCTCTTTCCAGCGGTGTGCTCGGTTGTACTCGAATCTATATTTTCAGAAATGACTATTTTGTCCGGGCTTAATTGTTATTTTTCCTATCTCTTGCCTACACACTTTATTCCTTTAGATTCCGTGACCTCATGGAAGGTTATCTTAGGGTCTTAGAGGTGTATTATGCCTTGGGAGACCATTGTTTTATTTCTTGCTTCCGCATATGGATCTGTTAATGGGTCAATCTTCAGTTCATTACTGATGCACCGGGTTGAATAAAACTCGGGTCACTACAGTTATTGTGATAGCGATTGGGCCGGAGATTTGGATGATAGAAAAAGTACTTTGGGCTATTATTTTTTCATGAGAAATATTGCTTTTACATGGTGTTCAAAGAAGCAACACATTGTCACCCTCTCAACTTGTTAAGCGGAATATATTGCGGCCACTTCATGTGTTTGTCAAGCAATTTGGTTGATGAATTTGTTGAAGAAATTACATATGCTACAAGAAGAGTCAACGGAGATTTTTGTGGACAACAAATCAGCAATTACTTTGGCCAAGAATCTGGTGTTTCATGAACGAAGCAAGCATATTGATACAAGATTTCATTTCATTAGAGAATGCATAACCAAGAAGCAGGTGGAGCTTAAGTTCATCAAGTCACAAGATCAAGTTGCGGATATTTTCACCAAGCCCCTCAAGTTTGTAGATTTTCACAAGTTAAGGAGTTTGCTTAGAGTTGAAAAAAATCAAGTTTAAGGAGGGGTGTTAGAAATTAAACTTGATTATATTTTTAAAATGTCTTTAAAGGTCATGGGTGCTTTTTTATTTGACATTTAATTTTATATTTATTTGATTTTTTATTGGAGTTAGTGGGGGGCATGAGAGTTACAACTAGTAATGGTCATGTTAGTGGGAGTTTTGCCTACTAAATGTTATGTTAATGGGGTGTTAATTTTCATTTACATATATGTTTTGAAGCCTATATAAACCCATGTATATTACTCATTTTCAATCAAGTGAAATAAAAAGTATTTTTCCTCCATTTTTGTTCTCTTTAAAATAGTATAGTGTTGTGTGTGTAACTAGTTAGGCCACTTCCAACATATATTTTATCAATAAAATTATTATTTGTGTCAATCGTTATATTTTTTTTTTGTTAGTTGGTATTCACACACATATACCTCCATTGAGATTTGAACCTCTAACCTTTCTTTAAGAAATAAAAATGTGATACCATTAAACCATTCACCTATTAATTATATTACACGTTATGATATTTATTATTTCTCTAACTTTAATTTGGTTCTATTTGGGTTTGAAAATTTCAACCCACCTGGGTGTGACTGAAGCAACCCCCAATCCATTATTTAGGAATCAAATGGACCAAATTCAACCCATTGCCAGAAGTCTCAAGCTGAGACCCAATAGCCTGATTAGGGATCATTTGGATTAAGCAACTGTGGGGGGGAAAAAAAAGTGTGCATGAGTTTAAGGTCTTGATATCAATATCATCATCATTTTATCTTTCTCATGACTTTTTGCCAAGTACCAACCATTCAAGTATTTTAACCATTTATTTATTGTATAGCCTTCCTATATATATATATATATAGGTGTCTCTAGTCCACCCTTGCAACATATAGAGAGAGAAAAA